CCAGCTCGATGCACTCGGCATGGGGGTGCAAATCGATAAGCAATGGGGGGGGGGGGGGGGGGGGCAGTTATTTGTTAGTAAAGGATCAACAACTGTAGATTTCCTATTGAACAAATAATCAATTGGAGAACCTCCCACAATACAAATTGTAGCAAATGAACTGGAAGACAAGAATCCATTTTCGAGAGGTAGATTACTGGGACGGGGGCAGCCGTGTGAGGGAGGGCATTTCAGGCTATACCTGTGCCTTCTCCTGCTGTCACGTTGCGGGTGTGGTTCTTTAAAGGGCAGGTTTGGTTTATTTTTGTGGCATCACTTTTAACAAGGCTTGTGGGGAGCTTTCAGGCAAGTGCACCGAACTGGCCCTGGCTGATGGAAAACCGGATTTTATCACTGGGTGTACAGCAAGTTCTCTTCGTTACAGGCACTCCTATAAATGTCTGTAATTCTGTCACCCGTCGCCTCTCTAACTCTTTGATCGCCCAGCTGGAAGGTGAAAGGGTAGCCACATCCAGAACGGGTGCGACGCTACCCCCAGCACGACATGCCTTAGCTCATATCGTGCACGTTTGCCCGAGTTGGGCAAGCTCATGGTTAGCTCTAGCTTGTAGGCATGCTTACAGGACCACAGCCAAAAGGATTTGAGCCAGTACATTGTTTGCCCACCAGGGGGCGCTGTTAAGCATGCAGTGTATGGAAACGGTTCAGGGTTCAAGGTAAACTGTTTGCCCTCGTTAAGCTCGGGCTGAGCTTTTTGGATGCCATTGGATGGCTCCATTTTTAGCGGACCAGGTGGACAAATGAACAGGGAGCGTCTGCCTTGATCGATGTGACACTAAGGACGGTGCTAATTAGTGCCCAAATTGTTCTTTTGAGTTTCAACATCTGTTTGCCCCCCCCCCCCCCCCTTTCATTTTTATATTGTAAAATGTGCCTTTGGAGCTCGACTGAATCAGCCCTCTGCGGAAGAGGCTTAGTGGGTTCAGATAAAGACCGCGGGATGATAACCAAGCGGTGTCGGGTTACTAAACCCACAGCCGCCCCACTCGTACCCACATCCCCCCCCCTTGTCAATGAGGCCGGCGTCTGCCGAGCAGAGCCACGCGTGGCATTGCCCCCGCGCTCCTCGTGCCCTCGCTTGGCGTGACGGCCCTGAATAATTAATTGTCATTTGGATTAACGAGCGTGTAATGAGTTTGCACGGTTAGGTGGGAGCCCCGAATGCACTGAGAGGGGGGTTCAGCGCCGGGTGCAGCCCCCTCTTTATTCTGCTCCTGCCAGCACCACTAAAGGCGCCCCACTGTGATGGATTACCGCCTTTGCCCCCCCACACGCAGTTTGCTGTTCGCTGAGGTGAAAGACCAACCCAAATGCCCCCCAGAAAACCCCGCCTCAAAAATTAGATATATATAGTATGAGCTGTGTGTGTGTGTGTGTGTGTGTGTGTGTGTATAATATAATGTAATATTATGTTATATTAAATATAATATTTAATAAT